ATTTCAAATCCTCATCACCGGAAAACAAAATTCCGGCAAATCACCGCCACTTTCAAGCCAAAAAGAGATCTGTAAATTACACATGAACAAGAAATCCAAGAACGAAACGAGGATTGGCTTTGATTCACCACATTCTCTCATTCTCTATCCCATTCCTTTTCGCATAATAAACCATAAAAAAATTTCAAACACAGAACCAAAACAAGATTTAAAATTTTTTATTCTCTCTGTAAAAATAAAGCTAAAAGAATAAAATTCCGATCGCCAAAAACCCTCTGAAACCCACCAAAACACATCTGCTTAAACCCCAGCTATCTTATACCATTGACCTCCCTCACCGGTCCTATCGGTAAGTACCCCTCACTTTACCGGCTATTACCGGTGACTAAAACCACCTAAAGACCGGTTCTTGTCTACCAGATGAACCCACCATGTAATGTAAATATCCTTCAGATTTTGACACGTGGCGTTAAGTTAAATCTTGTGGCTGCCTGCGGTCCGCACGATCGAGAAAAACGTTGAGTCACAAAAAGGATCACTTATTATTTATTTTTTTATTATTTTTCTTTTAACTCTCTTTTTTTTTTCTTTTTTTTTTGTTATTTAAATAATAAATAATAAAACTTAGGAGACGTCCATGTAAATATTTTCTTTCTAATTTATAAAATTCTTTAAATTTAAATTTTATTTTATATTACAAATAACAAAAACTAATTAATTAAATAACTCACCTCGAAAACCGGGTCATTTATCTAAGACTTCAACAACAAAGATAGAATGATCAAATCATCGTAATTAACGTCTTAAATTATAATTTTATCTCGTTTTTTAAAATTAATTTCAGTCGTATTTAAATTTAATAGTCGAGTTAAATAGTAAAGAAATCAACGATTATCTCGTAATTCATTTTAGATGTTAAAAATATTTTTTTGTTCGTAAGAAATTTATAACACAAGTATTAAATGCACAGACATATAAACATAAAGGAATATAATCTCAGTTATTTATTTTATAGATATGTTATTTATTTGTATTAATGTAATTAGATTTTTTTTTTGTCAACCATAGTCCAAATTTAATATTTAATAAAAGAATCATATCCAAAATCGAAATAATAAAAGTGTAAGGACTAAAGGATTAAATAAAAAAGATCATAAAATAATAAATCATTATTTATTTATTTATTATTATTATTATTACTATTTTACGTAACAGATACGGACAAAAGTTGGAGCACGTGGCGAACATACCTATACGACAAACACAGTTTTCTGCGAGGAGATTAAGATCCAAGGGTGAAGCTTGTCCGAGATCCATAAAATCGAACGGCTGTAAGATAGGCTCGGTAGGGTTATTTTGGTAATTTAGCTGATCGTAATTATCCCAATAAGCATGTTCTGAAGTAATTTATTGTTGTTGGCGCGTGGGTTCACCAGCATCAAGTCGCGTGGGATATGGTCTAAATCCTACGTGTGAAAAGCCCCATCTCTTATTGGATACTTTTTGTTTGGTATTATCTTATGAATTTTTCCTTAAAATAAAATCTTCAAATTTAAAAATTAAAATATATAGCTTGAATTAAATTAATTATTATTATTTTTTAATTATTTTTCATGGTATTGTCCCCACCTACCATTTAATTGTTTCTATCCTTCCAAATAACTTAGTCCATTCTAAAAATTTTCCAACCTATTTTTTTATTCATTATTTGTAGATTTTTTTAAATTAAAAAGTATTAAATAGGCTCCTAAAATTAATTTATCATCTTTTATCATTTTTAAGCCATCCAGTTAATAAAACCACTACAGGGTTGAGTTGGGTTTGGATTGGGCTGTGAATTCTGTTGTTCGGGTCACCAAACTCAACCTTCAATTTGTCTAAAAGATTTTTTCTGCCTACCCCTAAATTATGTATCATTAAAATATTTTTAAAAAATATATAAAAATTATAATAAGGAAAATAGGACGGTATAAATATTAAAAATTTTTACCATAACAAATTAAAATTTGAGAGATTATAATTAGAAATTAAAAAAAGTAAATTAAGAATTTAATCCAATTAAGAGATGACTGCGTGTGTCATGTGACGTTCAGTTAACGGATAAGGGCACAAAGAATTTGACAGTTGAATGTTTTTTTCTTTAAATTACAAAAAAAAAAAAAAAAAAAAAAAAAAAAAA